ATTTATGTAATTACCAGGACAAGGGGAATTGTTTCCATCATTACAATTTGTGTAACTAACGAATGTGGAACTACCAAGATCTAGGCTTATACTATATGACACATGTCCTATTTTAGTACAATGCACTTTGTATTTCTGAGGATATACTGTCATATCAGAAGGAAGATCAGCAGCATAAAATGATTCTATCTGTGCATATCCTAAAAAATGAAAATCAAGGCATGCATATACATGTACATCAGCCAGTATAATAAGTGATTATAGTCTCCTCTTACTGAATATATTAGCAAAGATGATGTTAGTGTTAGGATCTGAACAATTAGTGGGTAGACAACACTTGTACCAGCCATCGCCAGATGGAAGGAGATATTTGCCTCCATAATTAGGTATGTACAAACTGATCCTTAGTGGTGCAGTACCTTGATAAAGACTACACCGAATATTCGTTTTATCGCCAGGACAGGGCATTTTTCCAGCTGGACCAATCCATTCTCCACCACTTAATGTAGCAAGATTAATCCTACAATCTACCCTGCGTGATATGATTCTACTATCCCAAAAATATGATCCATTGTAATAACAGCGTCCTCTGTGTCTCAGGTAGATGCCTATAAATATTGTACTTGCATGCATGATGCATACATTGCAGTCTTACCTGATGTAGGACAATAACTGATAGCTGGATTCACACTCATCAAGAAGACTATAGACAGCACTAGCATTGAGGCTGCATGCATTATCTTCTCATGGACCTTTATATAATTAATGGCTTATCAATGTAAATTTGTAAGATTTATCAATGTCAAACTATCTTGCCAAATATTAGTACCAGTACATAATAACTTCAAGACAAGATCAGCTTCAATTGATCTCAGGCTAAGCTTGACAGGACTCTTACGCATCATTATCCATAGATACCACTCCACCGTGAAGTTGGCATGGTCTCGAGCCACGCCTATTTAACGGCGGTACTGGTATAGATAAACTACTTAATTTGATAGGGGTTCACCCACTTATGCTGTCACCATGGTCATCAAGCACTTGAGAAGACTGTTACAAGCCTACGCTGAATTAAGAATAAAGATAGGCGGGAATATTCAGAATAAGATAAAGAATAGAAGCTGAAGGTTCTCTACGAGTTTGATTTGAACTTTGAAGGTAGATCTAGATTTTGTCAAGTTTTTTTAATTAATTTATGATAATTAAATTTTGTATAATCTAGAGATAACTAAAATGATGAAGGAATTTTACAGCACCTGCTCGCTAGCTACCAGCATTAAATTAATTGTGAGTATTTTTAATAAAATTATGTACAGTGTACTCATACAAATCAGTATTATACTTACTATACTGCATTAACTGATATGATGGTACTGGTAGTACATTGCATAAAGTGCCCAGTATTGCAATTCTAAACTCAAGCTTATCAAAGATTGAAATTTTGCTAACATTGTTTTACTTTCGTGGATTTGACCACACCCTTCCATTATGGCAATTAAATATAAAACGCTCCTTTTTGTACGTTCTCTGGTCCTGACACCTGCAATATGTGCTAGAGTTAAGTTCATGCAGCACATGAAACATGTATTGTGGGGTAACAATGGAAATGAACGGGTAATCTACTAGCGAGAGTATTACCATCTTTCTACAAAGAGAATCCTACCATATATCCATCAATATCAGAGACATTTCACCTTTTTTCAAAATGGACCAACTTCACTATAGCACCTTCTATCCATTTGCTTGCTCTTTCTTACTAAACACTCAATCTTTTAGTTCTTATCTCTCAATCTTAGATCTACAATAATACTATAATAGTTGTAAATCCACCATTATAATTATTAGTATCATTATCATTATTATTAGTATTGTTGTTATTGCGTAGCCATATAAAAAATATTGAGCAGCAACAATTTTCATTAGAAGGAGTTTTAAAATCTAAGTCTTCTTTTACTGGTAATTATAGTACCTATTAATAAAGAAAAGTATGACAGTCAGACATTTTACAATCATTTTGTTCCATTATCCAGCCAAATTCTGTTTTATTCTATCTCTTTGTCTGAACAAGGTAGTTTTTATGGCATTCGGAGGATCGGAGCAAGTTTTAAAATTCATAAAAAATCCAAACCTGATTGGAATCAGCTCAAACTTTCTACACAACATAAGAACATGTATATGTATCAGAAAAAATTATAAAAATTGAGCATTCTCTACTAGCCATTTTTGACAAAATTTGGCCAGTGACCAAAGGCTATAGCCTTGGGTCATTGGCCCAATTTTTGAGCAACTTTAAAAAATTCATAAAAAATCCAAACTTGACCGGAATCAGCTCAAAGTTGATGTACAACATAAGAACGTGTATATGTATCAGAACAATTTATAAAAATGGAAAATTCTCTCCTAGCCATTTTTGACAAAATACCCTGTACTTTAGTACAGGGCCTATAGCCCAATTTTTGATCAACTTGACAATCCACTGACGAAAAGCTGCATAACAAACTAAGCACTGTTCAGACAACTAAATACGTCAGACACAATGTCTGAACATAGTTTGAATGTAATTTTAGGCTCTGACAAGAGTAACTGTATACTCTCACTGTAGCTGCTACATGTATGATGTATTGAATGTCATGTGACTATGTCAGCATAAAAACTGTGTCACTGTATTGTGCTATTGTATTTTAGGCAGTGTACATGTATAAAGCTAAAAGTAATTGAGGTTAATAGTCAATAGTCAACTCAGCAAAATGCCTTTTATAGCAAAGGATGTTTTGGCACAGAATTTGACGATTTGGCAATTCACAGTTACTGTAACACCACCAAATTTAAGTTGCCTTCATGTGTACATTATTAGCCTGACAAAGTATTGCCAGAGTTTCAGCGATTAAGTCAAGTTATTGACATGATGGTTTTGAGCTGAAATTTTCTTACACTATAGTCCATGTACATGTACAATGTACATGTACAAGGCTGATATGTACAGATTAGTGTATTGAAGACAACAAAAGACATTACCTTAAATCGGCCCTATATAATGTTCAGTATCGCTAGGATTATTATTATCACGACTGCTATGAACAGAAGTGTAATCGCGACTGTCCAAAACCAGCAACAAAAGGAGCAAAAGCACGATTTTTCGTCGTAGCAATATTCATCATGATTGTCATCTGTAGTACCGCAGTACAGATTCTTACAGCATTGACGCACTTCGTCCATTATGATTGGGTTTTGTTAGAGGAGTAGGTTAGTTGAGTTGCTAGGGTCACTAACGAGAGAAGGAGTTGTCTTTATATAGAGTTAGTGTCTTCAGCGACAGGTTAAGGCCAACCTTATGAATCCCTCCAATTGATGCCACTCCTTCTGGCAATCGGAAGAATCCGGAGAAGTATCAGTGTACCAGTGTACGATATAGACACATACTTGTGACACTGTATATTATGATGTGGTTTATATAAGAATAATGGAGTAGGTAGCTGGATCTGTACTGCATTGTAAGATCTGAATGTAGTTTCATTGACTGGTATATATGTACATCACTTATGTCTCTCTCGTTTCCTTCCCCCCTCTCTCCCTCTACCTCTCCCTCTACCTCTCTCTCTCCCTCTCTCTCTCCCTCTCTCTCTCTTGGTGTTTATCAATTTGATAGACATTTGTCATTACACAGTTTTCAATTAATGGTCATATACCATTAGTGGATATTTGTACATCCAATGGTGCTGGTTCACTTGTACTGTACATGATATTAATACAAGTACACTCAGTATGTATATGTACATGTTAATATACAGCAGCATATAATGTACTCTTACACAATGTACTGTATAATATACTGTGGTTCATTCTTATATTGTATATTCTTAATACTGTATATTGTTAATGTGTAGTTTGATGTACATATACATATGTATTGTGTTTCATTCCCTGTTAATGTGTTGTGGTTGTTTTGGCTAGTGAAGGATGGGCCTTACACATGTAGTTGGTATAGTCTCACTTTGTGATTATACTATTAAGAATTCCCCCATCATACTCTCTCTCTTGGAATTATCACTTTATCTTTCTCTCCCTCCCTCCCTTTCTCTACAGTCACTTCTTCCTGTTATTAAGAGTACATAAGGGTGTCATTTACTTTTATTGTTACCATACGCCCCCTCTTCAATTACTCTCTAATAATGCCCTAGCTATCTTGTTACACTTTGGTATATTTGTATTGCAGTACAACCTGATCTGTTCTGTCAGCATTAGTTCCAATTGAGTGGAACAAACGAATTAATTGAATCAGCTCTTACTATAGTAGGAGTGGGAGTGGCAATTAACAACTGGGCCTGGTAATATTATCTCTTATATGCAGTGTTTGATATTCTCTTGAGAAAAATGATAACATAGTCTACCTGTTTTGTTACCCTCCCTCCCTCCCTCTCTTCTTAGAAGCAAATAACACATAATAGTGTATGTACTGTGTGGTATTCTCTTGAGGAAAATTAATGATGACATATTCTGCCCATCCATTTCTCCTTTCCCTCCTCCTCCTTATCTCTCTTCCTATAGAAGCAAAGGGGCATTAAAACAAAACAAGCTTATTTATCATCCAAGCAAAATATGACTCAATCAATATTAGTTTCTATTTAATCCGTTTCTTTTTAAAGCTAGTTAATTAAATGCTAAAGACACTTCATTAGTTTATTATGGTAGATCTGTGAGCCACCATAGTGTAGTCCCTGATCCTCCTAACAGAAACCCAAAGAAGAGGATTTGTAAGAAGCCGATGAGAGAGAAATACTGACGATACACTGTAGCTAGGACAATGACTAGGACAGCAGTCAGGTATATGCAAAGTTGGAATGAGACCAGTAGAATGTAATAGAATAGCTTCAAGCACTTTCCATACGTTTCTGCTGCCTTTTTATACAAATGAAGAACAATCCATGTCACGACGTTTATTATCATCCAGGAAAAGGCAAAAGCTCCTGTAGCGTTTCCTAGAGCACCCATT